GGAGAGACTAAGCTCGGTTAGGTTGGGTTCGGTCGCTTCTAAAAAAAAAAAACGTCCCTTTTTGTTGGACCAAGTAACGCGTGTCGCGCTCTAGCGGTCAAAAATAGTTTTAATAGTTGACGACAAACGTACCGCCAGATGGCGCCTGGTGTACCGTAACATTTCGGAAACAATACAACATATCCAGGTAATACTCCTAAAAAAAAAAAAAAAAACTACTTAGGCGATGCCAATTAAAACGACATCGACGAAAAGGGCGGAAAATAAGGATTTACCGATAAAAAGAAAAAGAGATTTACCCAAAACAGCCTCAGCGACGACCACACAAATTATGAAATAATAGTGTCTTGGTGGTTGGGCAAGGTAGGTTTAAACAACCGTAATTGAAAAACGTAGGATCTGCGGGGTTCGTTTTGTTATACAAAAAAAAAAAATGTGATTTTTTTGTTTTTCTTTGCCTTTATAAAACCGAGCTATCTAGAAAATATTCAATTAAAAACTAAAATCGAAGAAGTGTTGAAAAAAAAAACTCAACAAAGTACAAAGTTTAAAGCTGTGGAGGAAAGAAAGTCAAAGAGTCGAGTGGCCTTTTGTGGACAGAAAAACAAAACAAAAAGAGTGACAATAACGAGTTTCATAATTATTATTTTCACTTGTACAAAGCGTGCAAAGTTACACAACAGCTAATTTATTATACAGGTGTTGTTTTAACGTTAGAAAAACAAAAGTAAAAGAAAAAAAAGAACCTAATTACCGGGGATAACGATCCTAATTAATTAATATGTATATTATTCAAACGCAATAAAAATATATTTAAATATTATTATCATCATGAATTAATTTTCAAAACGTTTGTCGTGCATTGATGGCTTTCCGTTATTTTTTTACTATTGTACTGTTTTGGCGTAACAGGTTATGAATAATACAGAGTAATAATCGTTTTCACTTAAGATTTTCAGTTTTGTTTAAAAACATTTTTATGTGTTTTTTTAAACTTCATAAAAAATTACTAAACCTAAACTAACCTAACCCAACCTAACCTTTACATTTTGTTAGAGTGTTTTGGATAGCTCTACCGACTTTTGAAACTCAAAATGGTACCTTATACCTACATTTAATTAATAAACTTTATAATTTATAATGAATTTTATGAAAATGATTAATTGTCGATAACCAGTTTTGGACGATCAGTTTTGAAAGTTAATAAAGTTTAAAATTTAAAACGAGACAAAAGCCACCTAACCTAACCTAACCTAACCCAACCTAACCGCACATCCCGTTAGGTTAGGTTACATTTTAAACTTTGGTCACACGACCAGTCAACTTTTTCAGCAAATCGTTCGTAATGTAAAAATTTAATTGAATTTATTTAAGTTACCATTGAAATTTCAAAAGTTTGCAGAGAGAGCTTTGGAGGAAAAAAATAAAAATGGCAATATTGTCTAATACAACTAATAACAGCTAAAGTGTCGCCGAGAAGACAAACTAGATAATTGCAATAATTATTTTAAGATGGAAATTAATGGCTTACTTTAAATCGATCACTCTGTACATACGCATCGCATACGGTGGAGGAATAGTTTATAAATTATTTTCGTTTTAGAGCATTAGCATTAGCATTAGGGTTTTTGGAATAAATATATAAATATATATTAATAATAATTGGCCGCACTAGTGGTTTGACGGTAGCGGAAAGTATGAATAATTCAAGAGACGGCAAGTGAGTGGGAAACTTACAATGATTTAAAAAGATACTTGTATATAAAGCGGTGGCGTTTAAGTCGACGTTTCGATTTGCATTAAACGGCGCTCAGACTCATCCGAAATATATATACATATTATATGTATTAGATTGTTTTTATTTACCCTTACCCTCCCTCCCCCCCCCAATCTATAGTGTCTATTCAGAAAAGAAGGCCATGAAATTTCAGATCTCTAACTCAACTCTCAGTACTTCCTCGTCGATCCAAATCATGAGAAATTTGAATTTCTAAATTAGAAAAAATGTTGATCAGCGTTGAGGTTAATAAGAAATTAAAATTTCCCATATTGATTCAGAATTTGAAGTTGAGCTGAAATTTTAGGGATTTCTTAATTGAATAGGCTACTAACCTGAGTATATAAACCGTTATAAAACAAATATCAGCCGCTGATGTTCTTGTTACTACAACGTTATTAGTGTCTTATATTATACCCAATAAGATACGGGCCAAAATAACACCTTTGGTGTTTTTATTATCAATATACTATAGTATTACTTTGGCGGCAATTGGACGGGCAGCGTTCATGTGGATACCGAGGCGTTTAACCAGCTTCGAACATGCACCCACGCATATTGTGTTGCCTACCGCTGTGCCCCTTAAACGATAAATAAACATTTATCCGCTCGGGTGTGTCTTTAATTTCCCACGATACTCCACGTGTGGCGTGTGTGTGTGTGTGTTTAGGTTTTAAAAAATGCAAATTTATCATTACCAAAAAAAAAAAAATGTGGAATAATCGTTACTATTTGGCGACGGGAAGCGAATAATTATTCATTTCCGGTGGCAAAATACACCACAACGGTGCAATAGTATTGTATTTATAGACTACATTTATTATTATTACAGGTACTCCTCTTTGACCACAGCTTTCGGGTGGTAAAACACTTGACGTGCAATGTCCCTTTCCCCCGCAATGCAAACAACTGCTGCTTTATTGTTTTCCCCTGAGAGAAATCCATTTAATTATAAATATGCCACCGTACATAAAATGGCGGCGGCGGTGGCAAAACTAAACGAGACGCGCTTCCACTTGTTGATTGAAGACCGGCGAACATGCAATCCGAATAGCACACAAAAACTACACGGTTCACGGTGGAGAAAACCTAAACTAATGAACAATGACGTCGGGTCAGTTGTTTGCAGAGCGGCCGGAAAATATCTACCACGGACACTACTCGACAAAAAATAAAGACTTGGTAATGTTATTTGAGATGATAGGTATAACATTTTAATAGTAAAATTATATTTAAATTGATTCCGGCAGACTGTCACTCCACCCGATCTTGTTTTGAATAATTTAAATATATTTAACATTGATTTCTATAAGTGTGCCGGTGAAATTGGAACACAGCTTATTTAATTGATAACGATATTATGTTATATAGTATTTATTTCTTTTTAAGTAGTAAAAAAAAAATAGGTTTAATGGAGTGCAAATTAAAATAAAATATTTTTTATTAATTGCTCGTTTGTTCAAATCGGTTGCAAATAAAAAAATTACTATTTTATAAAAACGATTTCGTTAAATGTTAAAACTATCAATTATTCCAATAAATAGTAATTCGATTGTAGTTCGCTATTACGATTATAGTGGGAACGTTGATTTTATAATGAACACCAAAAATCCATTATTATTGTTAAAAAAACGACAAACTAATCGGCACCAAGCTTTGTATATTGTGCTGCAATGCTTATCGCGTTCAATTCGCTATCCCCTGTTATTTTTAACAATAGGATGACTAATATCAAATTAATTATTGTTATATTAACACAAAAAAAAAGCCAGTACAGTGGAAGGACGCAGGTCTATATGAATTAATTTGATTTAAGTCTGTAAATGGTAGAAATACAAATATACATAAAAGATGTGATGACAATAATGTGCTTAATGTGTATTTTTAGTATGAGGGTGGATACGATTAGGGTTTCTTACAAAAAAAAAATTTGGTCTACAGACAAAACTGTACATGTTATAATAGCCTCACTCTAAGGTCTACCTGCGGTCTAATTTCTACACCTTAAGTCCTAAAAGTACACCTGAAAAGCGAAATAAAGAAATAAGAAACTATGATGGAGATGTTGAAGGACACGTTGGAAGAGGAAGACCAAGGGCAGACATTCAAATAATAAAAGATACGAATGAAGGAAAACACCTTAAAGAATTAAGTTTTAAATAGACAAGAAGCACGGAGAGCTGCAACAAACTAATCCAAGGACCATACACATTTGTAAATAACGAGTGCCTAAATTTTAAGTTGAAAAATGTGGACAATTTTTTAGTGTTTTTCTCGATTTTGAAGTGGAAGAAACGGACACGCTTTGAGATTTGTCATTTTTGTTTCAATATGATGTATTGAATGTACGCTTAAAGCGCAGTGTGTGTGTGTGTGTCAAGAGCAAACCGTCTCCAACGGCGCCGGCGGTTATTGCTGTTGTTATTATGTGTTTGTGTGTGTTACTACACCAGGGCATAAGGCACGTCAAAGCGCAAATAATACGGGGTAATAAATCCTAGAACCGGTTACACCCACCACCGTGCGCACATGTTCGGTGGTTTCGGTTTTACATCACAGGTCAGAGGAGCTTTTCAACGCACGGATCGAGATCAAGTACAAACGCGCTCTGAACGACGCACACGGGCGTGGACGGTGGTGGTCTGACGAAGGCAAGGCGGATTAGTCGCAACAATATTGTTGTCTGACTTTTTAAGGCGATTATAAAGGTCGGCAATAATTATTGTGTGGCGCTCGGGTAAAAGGTCACTTGTCCGAATCATTGACACACAAGCTGATTCGACTAGAAAACCGTAAGACTACAGGTGGTCGCCGTGGTAATATAGCCAACGAAATATTCATATCAGGATCAAAAAGCACGAGTTAACAACTATGACTGGTTATAGCGAAAAACAGTCATCATTGAGACATTTTAAAACACACCTAGAACAATTCCAATCCGTTTACTCTCATCCCGAGATTGGATGATTCAATCAAATTTTCCAAGGAACCGAGGCTTCGAAGGAACAAAACATTGACAGTTGTCTGGTTGTAAGGTAACACAGGTAACTTTGTCTCTCCGCAATATTGTGAGCTTGCACTTGCTATAATTGTGTGTGTGTTTACAGCTGGTTCAAACGAAGACCCGGTGGATTAATCCGAGGCACGGAAGTCAACGGCTACTACTACTACATCATATCATTACCTATTATTATTATTGTACATTTCTGTACACGGTACTCACCTGGGCGAAGTAAGCGGGTAATACGCATCTCTGGTCGTCTAATCGGTTGCTCTGGACCCGCTCGAGCAGCTCGAACAAATCCTGTGTGGCACACTGAAACAAACAGAAGGCAAACAACACAGATTTAGTCTATGCAAATGCATTGAAGGGCTTGGGGAGACATTTAGAGATAAATCCACATTTTGAAATGCGTTTTCCATTACAAAAAACAAATGATGTTAAAAATGGATTTACCTAATGGGTTTTTCAAGACCTTCGCCTGTTTTAACGCTGGAAAACACAATTTGCACGGCCTTAGCTACACAGTTTCCCGTCTAGACTGCAATATTGACATTCCATGAATTATACCGACAACCCTAACCCGGGTCAGGCCGTAATGCGATTAACGAGCGAACTTCAAACGAGCTCGGACATCCATTACTTTACATAACGACTATCCAGATCCATGCACTCTCCTTCGCTTTAAAAACCACGACCACCGACTCGGCTTTTAGCTTTTTATGTGAACGCATCTTCGTAGTACGGTACCGTTAAGCTTATTCCGGCAAGTGACAGCTCGGTTGACGGCAAAACAGGGTGGTGGGGGCAAGAAAAAAAATTCAATCCCTCGGGACTTCCGCAATTAACGGTTATTTTATTATGAAAATGTGCTTGCTTTTTTTTTTTTTGGATTTTTTAATGAATTCCACGGCGAAGGGTGACTGCTAAGAGTAATTACCATTTTTCCCCCGGTTTCCGTAGATCGGATTTGAAGAACGGTCTTTTTTTTTTTTGTTAAGGTGCTTTTTTTTTGCTTTCTGCCCACATTTCAACGCGTCGAAAATAATATGATAATTTATTCGTTCGTTTGCGACAAAAATAATATAATAATAAAAGGTCACGTTATTTAGATTTTTTTCCCTGACAGACATTGACACAAATGACAAATCCCCAAGAAGCAACATCAATCCGACAGCAGACTTTTAAGTGTTATGACGCGTCTCGTGACTCATAGCTGTCGACAGCAAAGATCGCAGTTGCTGAATAATTTTATAAAAAAAAATATTATTCACTTTGCGAGAGAGCCAGAACAATTTTGTCCGTCCATTGTCGGATGGGTCTTATTCGTCGAAGACTCCTTGTGGAACAACTCAATAGCCGTCTGCGCTAGCTTCGTGCCTTGCTGCATTGTGCTACCTTGCATCCAACTGTCAAACAAACTTATACTTGTACAAAGCGCTTATTCAGTCTATCTGATGTTCCTATGGCGTACCCTCCTTTTGTGGGTCTACCAAATCCTCAAATATTAAGACTGCCCAGGCATTCCAAAACATTGTTCTTCGCATCACATTACAAAAGCTCTCTCGGTCCATAGTTAATAATCCACTTTGCGAAGACCAGTACTCTGCTACTAGAATCATTCCAAATACCATTGTATCCCAACTGGATGTTAAGACTCTTCGTGGGTGCAGAGGCTTCTGACCATATTCACTTCATGATTAATACCGCTCGTTAATACAAACAGCATTTGTTCTTGTCTTGTGTTTCTTTTTCATTGTTAAGGGGGACATGCCTCTCGCGCCAAACACTGTCCTAACCGCGTGCTAACAATTACAAAAATAACTTTAAACCAACAAAATAAATAGAAAATACCGCGACCCCATACGGTTTTAACGCGGGAGTGGTTAGGCCAATCAATTTATTATAATATCCGTTACATCTCTACACGGTCGTCGCAATCCAAAAGCTTTACACGAAGGTCGAGGCCGGTGGTCGACGCAAAGACGACCGGATGTGCGACCGTAATCGAAATCTCCACATGGTTTTAGCCGAGTACAAGCTATAAAAAAAATGTTTAAAAAAAAAAACAAACAAACACAGGTACAACACACGATAGATACAACGGACTCTGACGTTTGTGCGTGTGTCGCTGCTAATTTATGTTATTGTTCTGCGAGGAATAAAAAAAACCGACACGGACGGAGTAGTTTATAAAAAAAAAATTATTAATAAATAAAGTCGCCGCCGCCGCGTAACTTAAATGTTTCAAAGCGTTTCCCGACAATGATGTGATGTTAGTATAAAAAAAAAAGAAAAAAGAACCGAAATCCATATACACCGATAGTGAAACTAATTATTTTTTTCACGGACGTCACTCACGTACGAGCACACGGTCTTGTGTTTTATTATTATATACCTAATCGACGGTTTTCTTTATAGTAAAACGTTAGTACGCACACGACACGGGCACATATTATAATTTAGTATTAACGGCTGATTTATTTCGACCGAGACCAACGAAAAACAAAAACTGATAAATTTAACGAATGCAATTTTCATAGTGACCTATCCGCAGGGCCGAGACAAGGGGTCGTTAAACCCTTACACGACAACCATAGTTTCGAGCAGAGTTTTTTCTCCTTCTTGCTATCAAAAATGCACACGGTTATAGCTCTCTTGTCGAAAGGTATTGAAATTGATAATAATTCATAAATATAGTCCTCCGGTTCTCGAAGCCCTCGCGGTCTGGTGACATCTTCGTTAATTGCTTACAATCCACTCAGCACAGGCGGCTATCTCTCTCTCTCTCTCTCTCTCTCTCTCTCCAGTACTTTACTTAGGTGGTATGAGGCGTTCAAAGTATGTGTAATCGTATCGTTTTTTTTCTTCTTAAAATTCTCTTCGAGAGTCCCCACACCGTCGTCGGCCAACAACACCGCCTGACTGCGATGCTTATCGGATCGCATAAATCCACCTCCGACTCCGCGACAAACGAGCCCAGATGAAGAGACCAAACCACCATAACCGAGATAACCAAACACGTTTGTCGTGTTGGCATTGCAATCACTGTTTCGCCTTCACTATATACAATCTCGGTCCGGCACCTGCTAATGGGCGTTATCGGCTTTCGCGAGCATCCTCCGTCGACACGCACAGATCGCTTTATAGTCCAGCAGAGGCTGTTTGTATAATATATTATTATTATACACAACACGACCACGCCGGGTTTAGTAACAGCACAAACAAAGCCGTGGTCAGTGCAGGAACGACAAATGAGACGGAATAGAACAATTGCCAGGCTACGGAGTTTGTTGTGGGGCACAACAACAGCCAATGCAGAGTTGGCGCGCTCATTGTTCGTACAAGTGTAATACAATATTTAAGATACAGCATTGTACAATTAAATCCTGACAATCTTCGAAGGCAACCGAGAAGCGTGAACGGCCAAATCGAAGAGTAAACTTAACAGAGACTAGGCGTTTTCATGTTTCCTATTCTGCAGTCCGATCATCAATCTCACCCTTAGGTCTCGGTCTATTATTTGAACGACTTGACCATAAGCTTTCCACAGCGTTCTCGGAGTCTATCGTCAATTTCATCGTATCGAATAACAGCTGGTATTTCAGCAAGCATTTCCCTAGCACTGCCACATGAGAATTTATGATAATAACTGTCGCGATGAAGATAATAGTAATAACGAGAGGCGTGTGTTAAAGATTATGACTATAATGATGATGACAATTTGAGTATGTCTACCAAAAGTTCCAAGGTATGGTTGCTGCTGGGAAACGGAGCTAGATTTTCGCTTGATCGAGTGTCGAAAACCCGAAGTGTGATCCGGTGACTAAATTTTATTATTCGCATCGTTGAAATGAGTAAAAAAAAAAAAAAAATGTCTACCCGTGTGATTGATACGACAAATATTGATGTACTTATTTGCCCGTCTCCTCGATTCGTGCCGGCCTAGGACATGAAACATGATACACACCTTGCACATATCATAATGATATCCTGTAGGAGGAGAGAGGAATCGACAACAATATATATTATTATTATTCGTTTCGATAACGGTGCACGGCCGGGATGATCGAGTGCGAGAGAGCTCCACGTGTGTGTACTTCGGCCGGTCATAAATCATAATCAAATTTTAATCACGAGTCAGGTGTGTACACGCTTATACATATATTAAAATATCATATACAACAACGCGTTCGGTACGAATTTAATGTGAATTTGAAAACGCGTCAGTCCGGTTCGTTTGTTTCCAACTTGGGGGTCAGGTATATTAAAGAAAATATATTATACAATAGTATGATTTTGTACTCACTTTGGTCTTATGGTGTCCGGTGGTGGCACACGTCCTGACGTGCTGACAGTAGAGCTGTCCATCGGACTGCTGTCGCCTGTAAAACACAATTAAACGACACAGTTAATACTTGGGAAACACAAGCGATAATATTTTTTTTTTAAAGTTACAGTCTACTTAAAACCTAAAGACTAAAATGATAAAACACGGAACATGCTTCAGTCTGCTGGCTCTTGAGTAATGATTATTTCCAATCTACAATCTCCTAATACACATGATGATAGTATAGTGTTAATTTCATGTTGTGGCCAAATGTTTTTTAATATTTGGCCTTAATCGGTTCATTGACAACATTAACCTGATAGGTTATTTTGGATAAATTTAACCACTCATTTAATTGTGAAATTATTTTCATTTATTAGGATGAACATTTGGTTACCCATTTTAAAAATAAATATCAATACAAGGATTCGTACCTTTCGCGGTTAACTTAAAACCATGTGAATGTATATCAATTATTTATCTATTATAATATAAAATATATTGCCGTGAATAAGTAAGTAATAAGTTTACACAACAATCAAAATATAATTCAGGCATTTGATGCACTGATGTCCAGATCTAAAAACTCAAAAGACTTGCCTCGAGACATTTTATACATATACATATTATACAAAAAAGCAACCGCTAGATCGCGTCACTTTTGCGCCACTTTCGTGACGCTATTTTGTGTCGTTTTCGAGCTGGTATCAGCTTATATCAATCTTTACTGTAATCGCATAGTTTGGCACGCGAATGGTCTTTAGAGTAGTCTGATACAAAAAAAAATATACTCTTAAAACAGTAGCCGATGGGTACATAAGAAATGCCCAAGGGTCTTGCTCGAAACAATGTTATGCTTGTGGACTTTTTTTTTTTTGACAAGAGAGAGAGAAACATTATCTTGTTTTTTTTCGAGCCACGACAAAGATGCGATCCATTAGAGGCCATTCGCCGTTGTTATCCTTTTGACGATTCGGCATCGCTCTCGGTAGGTATTCTCGGAAAAAAAAAAAAAAAAGGGACAGAGCACCGACAGAATGATAGGGTTTTTTTACTTAAACAAACAAAACCCGTACATTATATTGGATTTTATTTTTAGACTAGGGACAAAAAAAAACCACGCCGTCTTCCCACGACGAGGAGCATTCTTGTGGTCGTGCAGCAGCACTATACGTGTATTACTATAATGCACGGATAATAAATAATTTCGGGGGCTTGTACTAGAGCACATTACCGGATATAACACACACACACGCACACGTGCAGTACACACCACCGAAGACAACAGCAACAACACAAACACCGTCGTGGGAGATTTTCAGTGACCGTGTTCAATCGATTTTCACACATACACACACATTTAGGCTGACCGACACTCGTTACATAGACTTTTTATTAACGTACAAACGACGTATTCCGTTGTAATAGTCTAATGTTATAAACTTAAACAAACAAATTAGACAAAAAAAAAAAAAACCGCGATCACGCGGTGTGAGTTTATCCTGAAGGAAAACTACAGAAATGGCGTCAGAGTGGTAGGTGGGGGTAGGATACTTTCTCTAAAAAAGGCCAAATAGAATCATAGAACTACAGGAAGGAATTTTAATATAACAGACAAACCGCACTTGAAACATGTATTCACGTCCATGGTGATCTTCCTCCCCTCCCATCTCTTCTCCTCACTTATCCCACCTCTCTCTTTTATTCTTCTCGCCCCAATTTCCCTTTCACTGCCCTTATCTCTTCGCCTTCCCCTCATCTATCCACTTTACTCCTCCTCTCACTTTCTTTGTTCCCTCACCTAACCTTTTTTTTTTTACATAGGGGTATTTATTGGTTTAATTTCAATTACATACTGTTGATAATTACAAAAAGAGCGGGATCCATCCCACTGATTTTGGCCTTCGGTCTATATTATATATTTAAATTTAGCTCTATACTATATCCTCCTTCTTTCTTCTTCCTCTTTTTTCATCATGACTTGTGTGATACATTTCGTGCAATTTTCCCATGTTTCCCTGTGGCTCAGCATCTTTTTTACTATGTTGTCCGCCGTTATGTTTCCTTCCATTGTTGTATTCAATTGTATCTCTCACCTAACCTAACCTAACCTAACCTCCGCCTTCTCTCTCTTCTCTTGATGTCCCAAATTCAAGTTAGACCTAACCTAAGTCTAATCTAAATGTCACCTTAATCTAACCTAACCTAACCTAACCTATCTAATCCATATCTAGCCCAACTTAAGCGTGACGCGCAAATTTTGGACAGATCCCCGGGCCATGAGACATATTTATATTAAACAAATATTAAAGACTTTACCGCAAAATATGGTACTATCCCTTTTGTGCGGACTACTTTAAGGGGGCTAAACGACGGAAATAATTTATTCGAAACACTTATGGTCTATCACGGTCTCAATACGAGGGACATGAGTTGTGTGCGTGGTGCCCGATTGGACTATCGGCCGAATGCGTGGGTCGTTTGGAAGGTCGAAATGGCGAGACGTTTGGCAAGTTTGCACGCGTTTTGCTGGCGGTCCCCGGAGAGAGAGGTCCGAGGGGATCAAAACTGTTTACGGATGGCCGTTGATCGCACAACCGAGTTTTGCAAATAAAATCAATAAACACAACTACGAAAATAGGATAAGGCATAAGCCACCGCAGCAGCAGTAGCAGCAGCGCTTTGGTGTTTTTGGGTCTATACAAAAATATAACATCATCTTACCTGGACCAAACAGAAATCTTCTTCGGTCACACACACACAAAAGAAACGGGACAGTTAGATATAGGTAGATGTGGTCCAGGTAAAACGGACCTTTATCGTCCAAGATTTTGGACTTATGTGTTTTGCATGGACAGGATATGCATACGTATATATTTTTACATCATTGACTGCCAAATATCTTTGTATTGGTTTAGGCCGAAAATCGTGCCACCCTATAAAACACCTTTTTTTGTAAACGACACACAATCAGATCAGTACATTTGGGTATATTATTATTATTATGCCCGTTGTCAGGTTTACATTCACAGAACTGAGCGTAGGCTTCAACTATAATAAGGCCAGTGGAGTGCATGTGTTGTGTACATAACGACGTATGCATAATCGACATTTGTTCTGGATATTAAAAAAAAATTAATAATAATAATAATGGCAACGCGGTCCAATAACAATGTCGTGTAACCGCGCCTACCGCTTGCTGGTCAGATAATAACAGATAATGTTATTAATTAGGTATTATTATTATTTAATCGGCTAAACACGTGTTTATTTCGTTTTAACGACCTAAAACCAGATCCGTTTACCGTGTTTTTATTATCATGTGAACTAATAGCCCAGCTAGATAACTTGTACGGTATACATCGACTAAAAACGGTGTTAGAGCCCACACGGTTTTTTTTTTTTTTTTAATTTTGTTATTGTACGAGTAAAATATAGTCCTTGTAAAAATACATAATATTATGGCACTATACGGTTGCTCTATCTCACTCAATCTTTTTGCCACCTCTTCGACACCTGCTGTCTTTGTGCATTGTGATGAACCAAACAGATTCGCTCCGGTCCGAGGCAAAAGATGATGCCGCGTGTGTGTGTATGGTTAGATGGAGATAGAGATTATATAATTCCAGGGTTTCTATAATATTATGCTATACAATAATAATACTGCTATGCGAGTAAAAACTCACCACACGTCTGTCAGAAACGACTTGAACGTGAAAACCACTGACAGACGGATTTTTCCTCGAGAGGAACCCACACAACAGAACACAATTTTCGAGGTTAAACGAAAATCCGTCCCAGGCTTCTAAAGCTATATAACACACACTCCACACAGATATAGTATATAATATTATAAAATTCAAAAGGACCACACGTCGGTCACGGTCGATTTGGTTTGGTCAGCTATTTGAAATAGCTATTGTTTTTTTTTTTTACCAAATTAATTATAGCCTCATCCCAAACGACAATAATTATAACGCAGTCTTTAAGTGGTACGTCCGGTCCGCAGTCTTATGACCGTTCGATTAAATTGAAAAAACACAACCATGACGGTTGAAAAATATAATAATTATTATTGTCTGTGACGCGTTCAAAAGGCTAGCAAACGTTACCTAGAATTGTGTTACATATTATTTGCACGGACAGCCTATACTAAAAGCCTACCCAAAGTAATAGCGAGCCAAGTATAGAATTCTATATTCAAATCTGTGGCAATTGACCAGTCAATCTCAAATTCTGTCTTTTTGTATCTCATATACATGGTCCGTTGGTAAAACTGAAGACAAAAGACTCCTGACATTTGAGACATGTTGTTGCAGGAGGCTGCTTAGAATTAGCTGGACAGAACACATAATAAACGAACAAGTTTATCGAAGAGTCGAAAAACGAGAAGCTTTCTGAAGACCTTAACAAAAAGAAGAGCCAAGTTAATTGGACACATTCTGCGCCCCAACAGTCTACTTAGCAGAATAACAGAAGGTGCCATTGAGGGGACTCATAGCAGAGGGCGACCGCCACTGGACTACTATTGCAGATTAAAAAGGAGAGCGGAGAAGCCACAAGAGTGAAAAGTTGCTGCCAACCAGCCTTTGGGCTGTTAAAAGAAGAGAGATAGTTGTTAGACTAGATTTTATTTTGCGACAAAGCCTTTGTATCAATCAACGTGTCTTGTGATCAGCTAATTCTTTTATCTCATGACTATATAAACAGGCACGATTGCTAGATTACAAACTATTCCTATCTTTGCTAAGCTATCCGGGAATCGCCGATTTCCCCTAATTACCGTCAAAAATATGTCTCCAATAGAGTTGATTGCCAAAGCTTTATTGACACGTAGCAACGGTGTGGCTGTACCTAGCTGAACGTTTGGCACATTATGTTGGTAGTATTGAGCCCTTGGTGCAGTCGACGGTTTCTCCGACCTCTGGAGGTCAGTTTTTGAACTCTAGTTGGGTTTTTTTTTGATAATCATCTTCGAAGCCCGGACTTCTCGGAGTCGCCGTGCCCGTCGGGATTAGGCGAGAGCCAATTATTAGCGACGAGATTGATTAATTA